CCATGCCACGGCGTTCCTTTGGATTAGCCTTTTTCCAGTTTGCCCTAGTGGAGCAACTCAGGCCTAGCCTGCCCTGGGCTACTGCCCCAACGATGTCAGCGCTCTGCTGGCTGACCACTTGCGACCTGTTCTGACCTCAATGTCTGCCTGGCGAACTCTTGCATCTTTGCTGTCTCGCAGCATCATGGCCTGGCGGGTTTTTGTTGCCTTGTACTCCTCCACTACTGATGTTACTGGCAGCTGCAGCTTGCTGCCTGTGCTGTACAGGCCAATGGAACAGAAGCTTCTTGGGACCCCCAGCCATCTCCTCAGTTAAGTGTCAGGAGTGTGAGGAGATAGTTCTATCGTACTATTAACATTTTTAACTATTTAACAACTGCAAAGTTTTGCTTTTAATAATTAATATTTTCTTATAAAAAGTATTTGGTAACATTTTCCTTAAAGAGCATATTGCAGGTTAAATCTTTTTGTAAATTAACACTTAACATTGTCTGATAAAGGTTGTAGAATAAGTCAATGTGTGATTTGATATTTTATACAACACAAAAGGGCAAAAGATTAGAGGAGAAAGTGGCCGTTTTGTGAAATAAGCAAGGTCAAGGAGAGACCTTGTTTTGGGTTTTTTATGGGATCTGTTGACAATATATTTTAAAACAATGACTTTAATAACTTAAAGGTTATTTTGATCAATATTTCTTAGGGCAACCTGAGGTCGATCAAGGCAGTGGGAAGTCTGGACTCTCTGGGTATTACTTCCATGGTGTGTGGCGATCACTTGGTGGCACCAAAGTCTACCAATTCAACAACTCCTCTGCCATCAGTCAGTGTCTGAAAGGAAAGGCGGTCCACATGTATGGAGACTCCACCCTTAGGCAGTGGTTTGAGTACCTTGATGCTTCACTTCCAGGTAGTTAATACACATTCATTTCAGGTGACAGTTTAATATTATTTATATAACAGCTAAACTTGTTCCTTCTGTCATACTTTCAGATGCTAATGAGATTAACCGGAATAGTCCGAAGAAAACTGGACCTTACATGATATGGGACAATGCAAAAAACATCTTGGTAACATACCGTGTCCATGGTCCTCCTCTTAGTTTTATCTACGTCCCAACCAGTGAGCTGCGTTACATTTCCAATGAAATTGACGGGTTGGTAGGTGGCACCAACACAGTTGTAGTTTTTAGCATCTGGGCCCACTTCAGCCCTTTCCCAATTGAGCTCTACATCAGACGGCTTCAGAGCATCCGCAGGGCGGTGATTCGTCTGTTGAACAGGGCTCCAGACACACTGGTGGTCATCAGGACTGCAAACCTCAGAGGTTTAACACCTTCTGTATCGTTAAACTACAGTGACTGGTACACACTACAGCTGGACAAGGTGCTAAGAGCTGTGTTCAAAGGACTTAATGTTCGACTAGTGGACGCTTGGGAGATGACTCTGGCCCACCACCTGCCTCACAACATTCACCCAGGCCATCCTATTGTTAAGAATATGATTGACATTATCTTGTCCTACATATGCACCAAATAGGGCTAATAGATGTGCATTTGTTATGAGCAGGTTAAATTTTACATTATGTTACAGTATAGCAGGTAAACTCTGTGTTATCTGCAAAGACCCAATAGTAATCCATCACAGCACTTTGCAACATTTAGCAAAGTTACAGTGGCAAAGAAAAACTGTCTTTTTACAAACAGAAACCTTGAGCAAAACCAGATTCATGTTTAACAGCCAACTGCTGAAACAGTGTTGGGCTTGAAAGTATGTGTTTTATTAGCAGTAACAGTTAGGCATGATAATAGACTGATCAGTCTAATATTAACGTTAGTAACAGTATGATGAAACAGTTAGGACTGCTTATGTTTGATCATGTGTATGTTTTTATCAGACGGTTACACATAGTAACTTCAGTACACCCTGTTACTTCAAATACATACTGCAACCACATGCTAACAGAACAACAAAAGGCTAACCACATTACAATTGTACATGGTAAATAAGCATACAGCAAGTGACTGTCCTCTGCTCTTCAAAATTCGCAAATTTCACTGTGCCGAGGCATGGTTTGGTCATGTGACTAGTGACATTCGAAGCAGTTGAGGGCTTGATCATGTGTATGTTTTTATCAGACCTCCGAAGGACTTTATATTTTTATTTTTATAAATCATGATTAAAATGATGATTTTAAACAGTTCAGAGCTCAGGATAAATTGACAGTTATTCATGGAGATGACGGTAAAAGTATGAGCAACGTGAAGTTAGCTCAAATTAGGACCCTGAAGACCTGATTACACTACCAGCAACAAATTCATATAATATAATTAGTCAAGTGAGTCTGATTCAGAAAGTAGTGAATTAAGTGATTTAGATCAAACAGTTCCACAAAGTGGGAGTTGGGACACCCCAGGGGTTGCCAGCCACAAAAGGGAGGTAGCGAGATGCCTTTCAAAGAACTAATATGAATGTAAAATCATTTAAAATTGTTTGTTTAGCCCATTTTTGTAAAAATAAATACTTAAGTAGTTAGATTTCAAATAAAACCACACGACAGCAGCCAACAGTGTAGGTGTCTGCTGCTCTTTACACATAAACATGAACACACCTGTGTGTTATTTTGTAAGTTCTTTAAGGCCACTCAGTCATAAAGTCCATACATGGAAATTACTTTTATTTTGCTTCTAGCCTATCTAAAAATTAATTACTATGTAAACGTCCCTCCCAAGAAAGTTGGTGTTGTTTTTGCTGAAAATGTTCACATTGACCAGTTTGTAGACTGGCCTGGGAAATGGGGAAAGCGTGGCTTTTGCAAATTCTGCCAAATCAATGCAAGCACCACTCTCTAATGTGTGTCACTGCTTCACTGCAGAAATAAATTGTTATAATATTGTAGTAATATGACCATTTTGTCACAGTTTAACTGCCACAAATGCTGATAAGGCTGATTCAAACTTGGTGTGATAATATGAAAGTTATAGTTTCTAAACTTATTTGCGTTATGTTTAGTCAAGCTTCCTATTTAAGTCTGACTGTTTTTCAGTCATATACAGTAACAGTAACTTGTTAAGAAGACCTCCAACATGAGGCAGTCTTATATATTTATTTAGTTAGCAATTTTTTTTGGTTGCAAACCAAAAAAAATATGGTTTAACCAGATAAGTAAAGTTATAATTTTGAAATATGTTGTACAAATACAAATAAATAGACAAATCAATGTTATAAAGTGAAAAAAACCATCAAGTTTATTTACTGTAAAATGTGGAAAAAAATATACCATAAATGCCCAATGTGATGTACATGTCACTTTTCAGATCTCCAACACTAGTGGGTGGTATTTTTAAAAAAAAATGTCAGAAATGTCTTATATGGGGTCCATTTAGTCTAATCTATGTTCCCCATAATTTTCCTATCAGTATTAATGGGTGCGGGTTCTTATGGGCTAAACACAGACCTGACTCCTCTGACCAACCAGCAACATGAAAACACAGGAGAATGCATCAAGGTATGTAATAGAAAACCAGAGAAAAAATTACGTCAAATTCACCACATAGTTTATGCATTCAGACAATATGTATTTTTCTGTCATTTCAGCTGCTGGCTGCATTCCAGGTGGCAACTGTTCAGCTGTAGGAGGAGAAGATAGTTTTGGAATCAAAGGTCATCCCCCTCTACCGTGTGTTGAATCATACAACAGAGCAACTATATTCACAGACCATCACCCCCATGGGATAATATCTGGCACATAACCTGATCAGGTGCTTGGTGGACAGATTACAAGATAAAGAAAAAGAGAGTTCACTGGCAGTCGCTACACTGGTGGATCTACGCTTCAAAACCTTTGGATTCAACAGTCAGAGAGTGGCTGCTGGTGTCAAAGAGCGTCTCATTTCAGAATGTACATAAATCATCAATAGAAACAATGCCCAGCAGCAGCAGCAGCAGCCATCCACTTCTCAAGCACCACCTCAGCCTCGTCCTCCAGCACCAGCAGCAGTCTATTTATTTTTTATTATATTATGAATAAGGAATGACTAATGACATTTCTGGTGATGATTTATTTTTTATTTAACCTTTATTTAACCAGGTAATGACCCACTGAGATCAAGACCTCTTTCACAAGGGTGACCCTATTTTATTTTGTCAGCTTTAAACCAATGTCTTGATTGAACTTCCAAACTCCTTTCGATCTGCAGAGTCCCTCTGCATCTTTAAGAAAAAGCGAAAGACCCAGCTCTTTCATGAATACCTACTAACTTAATGATGATGGTCTCCATATTATTGATGATGATGATGGTTGTGACGATTGTTTTTGTTTGATAACAATGACTTTTAAGATGGTTTCTATACTGATTAGAGCTCTCAAGAACTGCCGTCAATGTTGTGCTTTGCCTCTGTGTAATGTCTGTCAGCACCTGTGTGTCCAATCGGACTCAAAGCTGATCATTTGCTCTTACTGACATTGTTCCCTTTTTTCTAGATCCTTGCTTGTGTTGTACTTTCTCTCTGATGTACGTCGCTTTGGATAAAAGCGTCTGCTAAGTGAATTGTAGAATTGATTGCAATTTATTTTATTGACCACTAGATGTCTTCCACTGTGTTAAATGAGGCCTCGAGTAATTAATCTATTTGCGATACAATTGGCTGGAAAGGCTCATTGCTTCACAAAACCTCATTTCGCCATCACTACAGCACGTCCTCACTTCTCCTCCTGCAAGACCAAATGCCTCCTGGCTTTATAGACGTCCCCATTAACAAAACAACCGCAGCTGGGTGCAGCACAATTTAAATAGCAGGTTTACACTTTTCTTTCAAAACAAAGAAATTTAAAAAAAACTTAAATTAACCTCAGATCATTTACTCAACTAAATGAACTTTAAATAATGACATGATATTCTACCAGTAACTTAAATGTGAAAGAAATGATTAGAAAGAAAACATTTCTCAGAAATAAAACCCCTTCAGTTGGTCTGCCCCAGTGATGTCAGCGATGACATCATCAATCTTATAAATACCCAGGAAGTGCTAAGCCAGACCCTTTTAGCTGCATGGGACCACATGGGGAACTGAACAAAAGAACAAAGAAAGGTAAGTATGGATAAGAGACAGTTATATTTTAAGTAAATAAAAATGACTAAACTTACCCAAGAATGTGTGTTCGCTAATAAATATTAACTGTCTGTAATGAATTAATACTTTGATGTGAACGTTAACTTAATGCTAACACAAACAAACACATGACTGTAATTGCTGCAATGTTACCAAAGCAAAAATAAACTATAGCAAAATACACAACTGTAAAGTATAATATAAATTGATAAATGAAGACTTAAGTGATTTAAATGGTGAATAAGAGAAGAGCGTCTCACCCGCAAGTTTTTTTTTTGATGAATAGACATTTTTGTAAAAAGTGTTTTGAGTTCAACACTCAAAATTCAAACTTTTTTTTTTTTTTTACAGTGTAAGCCCATTATAAAAAAGGAGTTTGTCTTGCTTTAATGACCGAACATCTCCTTTCTCAACAATATGAGAGCTGGGGATAGTATTGAAGAAGTATGAAAAGGTCATATCAGTTCCGAACATGTGGCGGCTGTAGCTCAGTCGCCTCTCAACCGGAAGGTCAAGGGTTCAATCCCCAGCTGAGCAACATGTCTGATGTGTCCTTGGGCAAGACACTCAACCCTGCATTGCTCCTTCTGCTTCAGTGGTTGTGTATGAATGGATTAGTACTTACTTTGGATAAAAGCGTCTGCTAAGTGAATTATAACAACAGAGTTCTTTGCACAGGTGAGAGTCCTGCCAGGTTTACATTTTCCATGTAACTCCTCCCAGTCATAAAGAACTATAAAATTTTAAAACAAGAACAGCAATAGATCTCTCAACAGACAGCAGATCAAACCAGATGTGAAGGAGCTGGCAGTGCTGACTCAAAAGTAATGTTTCCCTGTTACTGCACTGTGTTCTGAAATAATTTTCTCCTCAACAAACATGTTACATTTGGAGCGGGTTGTTAAATTCATATGGAGAGTATGTATATTACGTTTAATCACCTGACAAGCCTTTTTATTCAAGCCATCCCATTTCTCCCTGCTTGTCTCAGTTCAGTAAAATTGTAATGTTCATCATGGATTCCAAACTCCAGTACCACAACTCGAACATTTTTGTCCAGAGGCAGCTACCCTTGTAGGGGACAAAGCTTATCACCCCCCGTGCCTGCTCCTTCTGTATCTGACATCTCATATCTCTCTCAATCTATCACAGCTATATACCCCGGAGTTCGCAGGCTTTACAAAATTTCTGTGCACATACATCCTTCCATCCCATTATAGTTTCCTCTACTTTCCTTCAGTCTTTCAGACAAAACTTCAGCAGAGTTCACTCTAGCTTTTTCAATGTAGATGCACTATTTATTCAGCCTTTCCTTCACGAAGGTCTGAGCTGGATGACTATCTGTCCATCATAGTCGACACAGCTTTACTTTTCAGAGGAACTGGTTTCTATAGCTACCATGTTAACTTTGCAGCATTCAGCAGTTGAATCAAGGTACTGGGGAGGTCATGACTCCAAACTGTAATGTTGAATCTTTACAGAACCTCCCTCTCATACCCCAGAATGTCCTGTCAGCGCTCTTCTACAAAGCTCACGCTCATCTTTCTCACACCCCAATCTTAAACCATCTATCACACAGGTATCAAAATCAAGGCCCGCAGGCGAATCCGGCCCGACAGCAGGTTCCATCCGGCCTGCGAGACGTTTTGGGAAGAAGGGGAACAGCTTTGAAAAACAAATGTATGAGATTTTTTTTATAAATTAAATGTAGTTAATTATTTTTAATACTTTCTATTTGATTGTTTTAAGAAAGACAAAGAGAAAAAAAAACATGTCAGAACTAACATAACTAGATTTGCATAAGTTTGCAAGATGTGTTGAAGTATTTTCTACACAGACATGGATATTGTGAAAAAGACGCCCTGTGGTGGACGTCTTTGCCAGTGTTTTTCCTCTCTAGCTTTCACTTTTGCATGGACTCTGACCAGACACTCAAAACGTTATGAAGTTCTCCTGGATGTTAATCCTTCCCAATTGTCATCTGATGTGAAGTGCGTCTAGCGCATGTGAGTGAAAGTGTTGAGAATATATGTTTTATCTTTTGCTAGAGTATTTGTAAATACTTTATATATATTTTGCCTGTTGGAGCACAGGTTTGTTTTGGCTCACTGGTTATATATTAGCAGCTAACTGTATAATCTTGGTCAAAGATGAGAATACATGAGATGAGATGAGATTCAACTTTATTGTCATTACACATATACAAGTATAGAGTAACGAAATGAGGTTTGGCATCTCACCAGAAGTGCAAATAATCAGAAAGTGCAAGAGTCTGTGCTATGTACAGTAATTACAAAATTTACAGATGTAGGCTAAAAAAAGTGAATTATTAAGTATATCTGGATGGCTGGATTAATGGGATGCTATAAATATAAATAAATGCTATAAATATAAGTGTATTCTTAGGATTATAATATACAGATTAAGGTGCAGTGAGCATGCTATACTAATAATATGCTCTTGATCACATAGCGGTAGAAGTTCATCAGTACAGCTGAAGACAGGTGGTGTCTCTTCAGTGTCCTCAGGAAAAAGAGGCGTTGATGAGCCTTCTTAACCAGACTGGAGGTGTTAGTGGACCAGGAGAAGTCCTCTGTGATGTGGGTCCCCAGGAACTTGAAGCTGGAGACACTTTCAACAGCCATCCCGTTGATGTGAATGGGGTTGTGCGTGCTTCCTCTTTCTCTCCTGAAGTCCACGATGATCTCCTTCGTCTTGCTGGTGTTGAGGAGCAGGTTGTTGTCAGCACACCAGGCGGCCAGATGCTGTACCTCCTCCCTGTAGGCTGTGTCATCGTTGTTGCTGATGAGGCCAATCACCGCCGTATCGTCCGCAAACTTGATGATGGTGTTGGATCCATGTACAGGTCTGCAGTCGTGGGTGAAGAGGGAGTAGAGGAATGGGCTCAGCACACAGCCCTGTGGTACGCCTGTGTTGAGTGTGATGGTGGTGGAGCAGGTGTGTCCTGACCTAACATACTGGGGTCTGTTGGTCAGAAAGTCCATTATCCAGTGACGGAGGGAGGTGTTGAAGCCCAGGTCTCCGAGTTTAGTGTTTAACTTGGAGGGGATGACAGAGTTGAATGCTGAGCTAAAATCAACAAACAGCATTCGTGCGTATGTGTTGTTATTGTCCAGATGTGTGAGCACAGAGTGCAGCGCAGTGGAAACTGCATCCTCTGTACTCCTATTGCTGCGGTAGGCAAACTGGTATGGGTCCAGTGTGGGTGGGAGGCAGTTTTCAGGTGTGCTAGGACCAGTCGCTCAAAGCACTTCATTATGATGGGTGTGAGTGCTACAGGGCGGTAGTCATTCAGGCCTGTCGGGCTGGAGTGTTTCGGCACTGGGACAATGGAGGTGGCTTTGAAGCATGCTGGCACAGCTGCTTGGGCGAGGGACAGGTTGAAGATGTCCGTAAAAACCCCAGTGAGCTGCTCCGCACATGCTCTAAGCACGCGCCCGGGGTGCCGTCTGGACCAGCAGCCTTTCGAGCGTTGATCCGGCTCAGTGCAGCGTGGACGTCTGTGGAGGTGAGTGAGAGGGGCTGGTTGTCTGCAGGAGGTCTGGTCGTGGTCTGCGTCTCCCTGTTGTCTCTATCGAAACGAGCATAAAAGTGATTTAGCTCGTTCAGGAAGGAGACATCTGTGGTTATCGGGGTGGAGTTTCTGGGTTTATAGTCACTGATGGCCTGGATGCCCTGCCACATGCGTCTGGGGTCGGAGTTGGAGAAGTGTTCCTCTACCTTCAGCTTGTAGCAGTGCTTGGCCTTGATGATGCCCCTCCTCAGGTTTGCCCTGGATACGCTGTAGGCCATTGCATCATCTGATCTGAAGGCGGTGTTGCGGGCCTTCAGCAGGAGACGCACCTCCTTGTTCATCCATGGCTTCTGATTTGGGTACGTGGTGATCTGCTTCCATGTTGTAACACTGTCGATGGTGGTATTGATATATCCAGCACAGAAGAAGTGTAGGTGTCAATGTCTGTGTGAGAGCCCAAGGTAGCCTGAGAAGCAAACATACTCCAGTCTGTGTGATGGAACTTGTCCTGAAGTACAGAGTCTGTCCCCGCTGGCCACACTTTAATCGTTGTTACTGATGGCTTCACACGTTGGATGAGTGGGGAGTACTTGGGGATGAGGAACAAAGAAAGATGGTCTGACTGTCCCAGGTGGGGGAGGGGGGTCGTGGTGTAGGCTCCTGCGATGTTTGTGTAAACATGGTCCAGAGTTTTGTTTCCTCTTGTATTGCAGGAAACATGCTGGTGAAATTTAGGGAGCACTGTCTTTAAGTTTGAGTGATTAAAATCACCTGCAACTATAAATGCAGCCTCCGGGTGAGCAGTCTGTTGTTTACTGATAGCGGTGTAAAGTTCCTTCATAGCAGCTTTTGCATCGGCATCAGGGGGGATGTAGGCTGCAGTTACAATAGTGGAGCTGAGCTCCCTTGGCTGATAGAAAGGTCTACATTTAACCATGAGAAACTCAATGTTAGCTGAGCAGTGTCTCCCAATAATGATAGAGTCTGTACACCAAGCTTTGTTAATATAATGCACAGCCCTCCTCCTCTGGTCTTACCGGAGTCCTCTGCTGTTCTGTCTGCCCGGAGGTGTGTGCGACCGGCTAGCTTGATAGCATCGTCCGGTACTCTGTTGTTTAGCCATGTTTCCGTGAAGATCATGACATTACAGTCCATAAGTCTCTTGCTGTGGATGATGCGAAGTCGTAACTCGTCCATTTTGTTCACCAAAGACCGCACATTAGCGAGGAAAATGCTGGGTAACGGGAGACGGTGCGGTGTTATACCTCCGCGCTTCCCCCGCCTTTGTTTACGGTCTTGACGCCGCCTGCGAGCACTTCCGCCCGGCCGGGTAGAGTGCGTAGCCTCGGGTGTTTTGGCGATCTCGGGTATGAGTAGAAGATTGTTGATTAGATCGTCAGGGAGGTGTATTCCAATATCCAAAAGTTCCTGTCGGGTGTAGGATGTTAAGGCGAGGCTGTTCCGTGCGAACAGACCCGAAATTAACAATAAAATTACTGCAAAATTGCAAATCTGAGAGAGACGCTGGGCCTCGCGATGCGCTCGCGCCGCCATCTTGTTGTATTCTGTGTGACTGTGGCAATATACTCTAGTTCAGTTACTGATTATTAGGTGACGTTTTTGATAAGGAGATATGCTGAATTGTAGCCATATCTGTTCGTTAATTAGCAGGACATGCACATGGCATTAAGATAGGTAGTCACTGTGAATTATGTTCAGTAGAGGACAGTGCTGCCTTACTGATGTAAATGAATAAGCTATCTTGATATGCTCAGAAGCCTGTCATACAATGTCTTTGCTGTGAACTGTATCTGTTAGGGAAGAAGTCTGTTTATACTTTATGCATAACCACTGATTCATCAGAGAACAGGATTTATGCTGGTGTGGTGGTGGTAACGAATAAACAAAGTGGAATTAAAGACCTGTGGTTCTTACCGATCACCTGCAGCGAGTTCTACACAATAAGATCCAGCATAGTTAAGCAGGAAAGCTACAGCTTTCTCACAGATATATATTTCTGGTAACTCATCCTATGAAAAAAGGGTAAAGAAAAATAAATAATTAAAAGGTGATGAAAAGCAACAGAGCAAACTGATTTAACAAAAAAGAATAGTAGACATAAAACTTTAAATAAATAGTGGGCCTTGGTTTGTTCTACTCTAAAAGTGTTCATTTATTTTTGTCTGTGTTCTTCACCATCTTTTTTTACCACCATTTTTAATACATATTTTCATTGAATTTTGAAAAACCTTTGTTTAATTAGCAAGGTAAAAACGTAATATAATGATACAAAATTAATTAAACTGGACACTTAGAACTTTTTTCTCAGCAGGGAGTAACATAAAAAAAAACGTGTTGCCAAGCACACAAGCTGCTCCTGCATTACGTTTCAGCAATCAGGCTGAACAAAAAGAGAGGTGACCGTGACATAGAATTCAGAGAGACTGAAGGAGAGGTATTTCTGTAGTTTTATTCACTCAGAGTTTTGTTGCCAGAATTTAATCAGAGCTGCGGTTCTTAACTCCGGGGGAACTGCTGCACTGCGCACGCATCCTGGCGGTATTCAGTTTTGTCCACACGTCTTACCAGCTTCTCCTGTTTTCACTGATGTAAAACAACAGTTCTGCTGATAATCACAACGCTTCCCAGATTGTCTCCACATCATCCAGACTGGGTGTAAGTTGCGAACACAGGCGTATAGCCTAATGCATCTCCCGACTTACTGTATTTAAACTCTGATTATGGTAAAATCATTTATTTAAGATTTAAATCTGATTTTATTTACAGATGGTTCATTTTTAGGAAAGTGTTGTGCTGATCAAAATGTCCTTCTTCTCCGAAAACGATATAACACAGGCTGTCCGGTCATACAGAGGTCCGCTGGTTTAGCCGCGGAGCAGCGCTAAAATGCTTCCTTGAATAACACACGGAGAAGGCACAGATTCATGACACATAAAAAGTCAGTAACAGAGTTAGATCAGTATCGATAGTATGGACACATAGAAGAACTGACTGCCACGCTCATATTAAGTCGTTTAACTGATTTTATTCAGTTGAAAAAGTGGAACTCAACACTGAGTTGATCAGACTGAAGCGCACGTCTGGAAACATTTTATCATTTTATAATGCCTGGCACTAAAATACCTGAAGATGACAGTGTTTCCATCACAGACACATATATTCATGAGAGCAGGTTTTGTCTGTGATGAACCTTAACGAGTGAAAACTGTGCTGTGGCCTGACACCTCTCTCTCCCCACTGTACTCCATATTATCAAAGCACTGATCCACGGGGCAGGTAGAATAACTCCTGTGACAACGTTTCTATAACCTTGAACAGCAATATTAAAAAAATATAGTACAGTGTGCAATGTTTTAAGTCTGATACCTGCAGTCATACAAATTCATCTTCAGTTAATGCCAAAAGAAATTCTAATTTGAATTAGATTTTTTTTATCATATGATTTACTGTGAGTTATGAGTTACTGTTAATACAAAGCTCCAGACACAAGTAGCTTATTTTCATTTTTTTTAAATCCTACAGCAGCCCTATACATGTTTAGAGTAAAATTCTGCCGGCCCACTGGACAAATCCAGCCCCGACCCTGGTCTATCTCCTGCAGCACCTCTAACTCCAGTCATTCCCAAGCCGTAAGACATTTGCTTGTATGTGTACCCAGCGTCAACGTCACAACTGCCAAGGGAGTGGGGAAAAAGAGACTACTAGGTTAATACTCTACCAAGCAGGAAGGATACTATAAACAATGTCAACCTTGGCTGCTCCCTTTACAACTGCTGTCTCTTGACTAGAACAGCATCATGGCACAGGTTAATGCTCTTGCAAAAGCTCAGAGGACAGTTTGTTCACTTTCTCATTAATGGCTTCACCCACGGATGTCACCCAGGCATAACACACTTCCCACACCTGCCACAACTTTCAATCTGCTTTCAAAGAACCCAAAAGTGTTGACTCCCTATAGCAAAGAGGTCAAAGAAGGATTCATTATTCCTTTTTTTTTTTTTTTTTTTTTGAGTTCATTGAGTAGTTAAAGCGCCATCTGCTGGGTGGTTTGTGAGCGTGGGTAGTATTCATGGTGAGGGAGACAGGAGCATGGTCATTGATGGTAATGGAGTGTATTTGTGTGTCAGGTTTTTTGGAAATAATTGAGTTGCTATAAAAGTCAATGCGAGAGTAGGAGTGGTGAACCGGAGAATAGAATGTACATTTTTTGGGTGTTGTAGCCGCCAACCATCGCCAAGACCAAAGTCACTCATGAACTGTTTTATTGTTTCTGTGGATTGGGAGTTACGTGTTTTATTTGAGTTGTTAGATCTGTCAAGTAATGGGTTTAAGACTGTATTGGAGTCTCCTCCAATAATCACCGGGGAGTCAGACATATTGTAGAGAGAGGTAAAAAATGTGTTAAAAAAAGGATCAATATTATTTGGACCATAGACAGATGCAATAGTAATGGGGGTGTTATTTATGGAGATATTTATGATGATAAATCTTCCTTCAGGATCTGTTACTGTGCTGTTATGGATAAATTAGATTTTATTGTGTATTAATGTGGCTACTCCTCTCTGTCTGGAGTTAAAATGGGCAGAGAATACTTAATGTTATTAATTTATGATGATCAGATTCAGCGAGTGGAGTGATATTCAAAATAGCCAGGGGGTTGTTGTTATGTCATGGAACAGTTGTCCATTAATGTAAAGTTTGTCGACTGAGAGTACTGCTTTTTTTCCGAACTGTATGTTCTTTTTGCTGATGGGGGGTAGTGTTTTGCGCCTGTCCATTATTTCTCGGGGGAATTGATCGTTGATGCCAAAGTCCGTTTTGTGTCGTTGTACCTGTTGTTTTTGTTGGTAGTGCTCGAATTTGGCAATTATGGGTCTTTGTTTGTTTGCAGGGTTCTTGGGTCCAATGTGGTGTGTACGGTGAAATGTAATGTCCTTCGCAGCGTCCGGGGGTATTTTCAGATGAGTGGTCATGAAATCCTGTATTAACTGTTCGGGGTTGTCGTTGTGTTGTTCAGGTATACCGGAGAAGACTAGAGTGTCTCTCATGCTGCAGGATTGACGGTCGAGGATTGATTCTTTCATTTGTTTATTTTCTTTGGTGACTGATTCCAGCTGTGTTGTGAGTGAGGTGACAAAGTGTTGGAGGGATTTGTTATCTTTGGTGAGTTGCGCCTGTGTGAATTCGAGGCTGTCGCGGATGTGTTGGAATTCTTTGTGCAGAACTTCAACAAGAGCGATTCTTGCGTCAAGACCAGACAGACTGTTATTGATTGACATTAGGATCTCACTGACCTCAATGCAGCAGTGTTTTTTAGGAGAGTTGAGAAAGGAGTCGGACTGGCGGCTTCTTTTTTTGTCGGATTCGGTGGGATTGTTGTTGTCGATTTTGGGATTTGTATCGGTGTCGTTTATGCAGAGTCGGGTAAAGCATTCATCAATGTACTCCTCTAGATCCTCCAGGTCGTTCAACTGTGTAAATCCAGGTTTGAGGTGCAGAAAAAAGTTTTAAGACAGAAAAGTAGTAAGAGCTGTGTTTTGGATCTAGCAGCAGGCTGCCATCTTGACCTGTCGTCAGATCTCACAATCACAGACCCAGTCAGTCGACCCTTGATGATGTTTTTTTTTTCTCAATCCAGTACCACAGAAGGACCAATCATGAAGCTGAATGTTTGTACAAGACAGAAGGTCGGCAAAAACCTTCTACAGGGCTGCATCGTCCTTTTTCTGGCTGTGCTTGTCTTAATCTTTAGACAACATAAAATGGACCTACTTGAGGTGAGATTCACATTCAAATTCAGATTCTTTTTTGTCCCACAAGGGGAAGTTTGTTTGCAGCAGGAGCACACAGAAGACAACACATGCAAGCACAACATCACTGTAAAATCAAAATGAAAACCAAGTTCAAAAGCCAGACAACACAACACAATATTAAACATTAGAAAATGTCATGTTATGGGAGTTGCAATGTGCAGGTGTGCAAATGATCAGTTAGAGTGCAAAAAGAGCAACCTAAGGGATAATAGAATATATGAATTGAAACGGGAACAAATGAGACCTGGAATCTTTTTGTTTTTCTCACGTGCTCTAAAATGACGACCTGAGGGTGGAAGCTCAAACAAGTGGGTGACTTGAGCAGACCACTATAGCCTTAGCTCTCCCCAGGACCTCCTTGTTATAAATGGTCAGAAGCCCATTCTGACACCTCCCTGATATTTTGTTACTTGTTTTTAGAAGCCTCCCAACTCTATTCTTAATGGTCAAGTTCAGGCTGGGAACAGGCAAGTACGGACTTGGTCAGTTTATGTTTATTGTTTGTTAAGTCAATGTTTATTAGTCAGATTGAAGGATAATGTTTTCAACGTGTCTTCACGTCTTTTCCTTAGCAAGCCAATGATGTCACTATGCAGCCCACCTCAGAAGCGACGCAAACTCTTTCCTTATGCATTCCAGTCTACAATTCACCTGCAACTTGTGCGGGTCCCTACACATCCAGCTACACAATGCATGATTACAGCCGGTACTCCGCCCCAACAGTTCACACCCCTCCAGTTTTATTTCAGGACTTAATCCTGTAGTGTTGTGAAGCAAGAGCTCTCAAACAATCAGACAGAGACTTATGGCTTGTGAATCGAGGATCTGTTTATTTCACTTATAGCAGTTTTTCTATATAATTCCCACCATCCTTTTTGGGCAATCAACCCACCAAGCAAATGTACATATGTCAGCTCTGTGATTGACTGGCGAACAGTCCAAGGTGTAGCCCGCCTCTCACCCACTGATAGCTGGGATTGGCTCCAGCCCCACGGACCCAAAACAGGAAAAAGCAGTATAGATAATGGATGGATGGTCTTTCTTTCTACACTCACACTGCATACTTTGTCCACAGAGGAGCACCACAATCCACAAAGACTTCTTAGGAATTTGAGTTGTAGTTGGTGTCATGATTTGGTCTTGTTTGTTTTGTATTTTGTATATTTTCAGAGTTTAGATTTCCTTGTCCCCTGTCATCAACGTATTATAATATGTTGATCAATATATGTTCTACATATCATGTTGATGACAGGGGACAAGAAAACAAAGCTAGAGATCTATAGATCTCTATCAATCATGTCCAGAAACACACTTTGTGTGTGTAGAGATCATTGCAGTGGATATTACTTCAATATTTTATAGAGTAGCCTTCGGTGTATGGGCCTGGTTTATTTCAATGTCTAAAATCTGCCATTAAATTAACAATACGACTATTGCCCTTAGGTCAAGATTAATAAAATTTCAAAGTGACTTCTGATCTACCATCTTTTTCAGTTTATTTGAATTTAGTATGTATGTTTGATTCTTTTTTTCACTGTTCTTATTTTTCAACCCATTGCCAGCTAAATTATAAAGAAAACTCGACCATCGTCCACAAGAAAGTGACCTCTCCCCCTTCATCTGCTTCTCACACTGCTCCTCCCGTGCCTGACAACTTCTGCACCTTCAAGCGATTCTCCTCTGCAGATGCTGAGGAGGAACGTCTCATATTGGACTCCATTGCTTGGCCTGAAACTCCACCACCGCCAGCTCCTTTTTTATTGAACCAAACAAGTGATCCCACCCACAGCAAATTCACTATTCTCCCAAGGAGGGGTGGAGGAGATTGGCACATAGGAGACCAGCTGGAAGTTATGATAAAAATGTACGACTTCCAAGGTAACCCCAAGAAGTCTGGAGGAGATGCAATTGTTGCCCGATTGCACAACAGGCCACTTGATGCAGGTGTGGCTGGACGAGTGGTGGATCACCTTAATGGCTCCTACTCTGCTGTATTCTCTTTACTCTGGGAAGGAAGTGCACAGGTTGAGGTAAAAATCAAGGCTTTCTACTAAAATGGTATTTTAAACAAGTGATGGTAAAGGAATCACACATTGTAATGTTATTGTCCTGTAGGTCATTTAATTCATAGAATCTAAACCATTCCCCTGACCCTCTTTTGCCAACAAGCAACAACATAAGTAAAAAATAAAAAAAAAGGCATTGTGGAAGTTTTAAAATCTGAAGTTCCTCTTGTTAATTCTTGAGACAGTCTCTGAAGAGTCATTCCCCATTGATTGATGCCCAACTTTTTAAACCAGCTTTTTACAAAACAGTGTTTCCCACACGATATCTGGGCGGGACGTCCAAGTACATTTCTGTCCGCCCAAGAATATTTCCGACTTGTTTTAATTTATTTTTCATTTATTAATGAAATTGCTGCGTGCACGAGAAAGCGAGAGAGAGAGAGAAGGTCCACTGAACAGCTAGGGTTGACACCTTTCCAAGCAGAAAAATAAAGGACACCCCCGCAGCGGGGCGAAACTGAGTAAGAGCATCTGAATTCCCAAGTGCCTACTCAATCTTTCAGTAGACAGTACCTACTATCCATTCTGTATACTAGGCAGATAGGCAGATATTTGTTCCTACTTCGTCTGATTCATTCAGTATGGAAGTGGAGTAATTTGCGTTACCCGAATTGACTGCGGCTTTATTTAAGAGTAATTCACAAATACAGTCAGGTAAACAAAAACCAATATCACAATGTAAATCAAGTAAAAACCCAGATTAAATAATAGAATAACACACAGTACATACAGGAAAGTACAAATGAAAGACAGTAATATACAGTATTTAAAGTAAAATAAACCAATAAAGACACATACATAAATATGGAAATCATTATTTAAATAGAGGTCTCAGGGGAAAAGGTTATATATAATAATGCATACACTTGTTACATTTTTCATTGTTAATTAAAAGGAGCGATTTCAGTAGGGACTTTCACAAATGTATTCTATTAATCCATGCTCATTTGTTTTGATTTGGAGCACACCTGAAGTGACGTTTTTCTATTTTGCGTTTCATTTTGCACAGCATTATGGGTGGTAAAATGCAATTAGGTAAAGGTCAAAATTACTATAGTCAGGCTTGAAAATTGCAATACAGGCCTAGAGGTGGGTGATATGGGAAAAATTTCATATCACGATTTTTTTTTGGGCAAAATCTCGATCACGATTTTATCACAATTTTTTTTCATACTGATCTTTAGACAAATTTGTAAGTTACTGACCAGTTCAACCAAACTTATTTCCCTGTATAATGTTCTTAAATGCGCAAAAACTGTGCTGACAAGTTTAATCTATTTAAAAAAACATCTTTGTAGGAGGTCTGGAGGTCTCACCCAGAACATTTTTAGCAACAGAAATGTCTTTCCCTCAATTTGATCTATATTTATGCACAATTTGAGGGTTTTCCTCACCACTTTGAAATTATGATTTAGTTATGTGTCCTCTTTTTATGTTCATCAGGAACATTTTCACGCAGTGATGCATTCATTTAAAAACATGTAGACTTCAAGTTCTTGTCTTTCTGTTCTATTTAGCCCTGCAGAGTTCCTACAGCTATAACTTCATACAGGCTCTGCAGCCTTTGTTGTTGTTTTTTTTTATGACATCATTGGACTAACTTTAGTTTGGTTTATATATAATCAAACATAATACAGAATGTGTTCATTCTGTGACACATGATCAAAGTAAGTTTTACTGACAGAAGAGTTTAATTCATAGAGTGGACATCGTTGATAGACAGACAGTCACCATGGTTACTCACTCTCACCTGCCTGCTGCTGCAGTGTAACGTTGTTTAGTGTAATCCCACACTTAAAGCTCTAAGAGGGGCAGATAAAGAGTAGGTGTAGGTGGAGAATTCATTGCACAAAGCCTTGCAGAGTGCAGAGTGCTGGTTTCTGATCTCAGGCCAGAGGGTAGTCATGAAGTCTTGGACACTCCTGGAAGTTGTCTTCCAGATCAGCTTGAGTTTTTCTCATGTGGATGCATCAGGTAGATCACAGAGGCGCAGGTTGATCTCTGTAAGGTAATCATCGATGCTGAAATTGGGTTACATGGGTCAAACCGGTCTACATCCTTCGCCAGGGATTCAATGAGCCTTATGCGCATTCTTTGATTTCTGGGTGAACAGGAGCCATCCGATTCAACCTGGTGTTATCTCTGCCTCTGGGGGCTGAGAAGTCATCCCCCTTCCCATGTGGTGGTTCAAACCTGTGAAGGTGTGAAAAGGTGTCACAGCTGTCAGGGGACTGGGGCGTTTCCCCAAAGGGAGGGGCTCCACAGTCATTTGTTTTCAGGAATGGCAAGGAAAACAAGACTATTTTTCTTAGTCCTGGGGTTATCCTGGCTGCTCAGTTCTTTACTCAGCTTTTTCAGCAGGGTTGTTTGATCATCCAGCACTTCCTGCCTGGCAATTTTGAAGTGCTGGCAAAGAAATGTATATTTTGCCCGCAGGGATTGGATGTGGTTCTGCAGGGATTGGATGTGGTTCTACAGGGATTGGATGTGGTTCTGCAGAGCTTCTTTTTCTACTTACAGCTGGGTTTGCTGCTGAAAGGACTTGTGTTGGGAAAGAAGGACTTGCCCAAGAACATTCAGAATTATGCTTTGGGGTTTCTTGGCTCGGTGGTTGGCATGATCAACGAGCTCCTTTAACTTCTTATCACACATTCTAATTGAATAGCTATTAGGTTGGCTATCTCCTCTAAGGAAAGGTGCGTCAGACCAGCAACAGTGCTGCGTCGTCTGATCCAAAAGGAGGATTAAAACGGATTCACAGTGGATTACTGTTAACAAAGCTGCTAAGATAAACAAAGCTAGATCAACACAACAGCAAATCTTATCTAAGTTTCCCAACTGATAACTGCAGTCTATCCTGGAAGTTAGGAGAGGCCACACTTCAAGTCCTCAAAGGATGGGAGGAACTCACACCTCTCAGACAGCTGGCTATGCAATTACTGTGCATTAACAATGCAATAAAGCTGGTTTTATTGAAGGCCTCACACAGGTCATCATACGTTGGGGTTCTATCGAGTCAAATTTGGTTATATTATTAATTATATTTAATAAAGTATTAATATAAATAACAATATTATAAAACTACATTTAATTAACTCGGGGGGGCACCACTCTGAGATCAGAGAACAAATAACCAAATATCAATAAAATCAGTCTCAAATTAGTGAATTAATTACTAATATTATTCATAATTATTAATTGAAGTAGTGAAATCCATACACAAAGCCCTTGCACCCAGCTTATATCACAATGCAAATACACCAGTAATCACAAACAACTGCTCTCTTAAATTATAACAGAATTTATTTAACAAAGCCAAGTCAATCCAAGAAACTCAATCAAACAAATCACAAACTAATCTAAGCAACCAAACATTTTCAAGCAAAACTTGTGAATGAGGTGTAAAAGTGTAGTTGCTGCCTTTTGAAAAGGTTTTGAGCAAAGTTGGTTGGATCTCCACTCTGTTGAATGTTAAAATCAACACATTCAGGCAGGTTTCCTTCGTGGCAGATGTAAGAGGAGGGTAGCAGGATTCAGATCTTCGACCAGAGCACTGCTCTATGGTCTTCTGGTTGCAGGAGCCGAGTTCTTTATGTGTCCTTGTGGATTCAGGGGATCAGTGGGCTCTCTTCAGCACTCCTGTCCAGTTTTGTTCAATGACGTCTTACGAAAAATTAAAGGAAAGAAACTCTTCATTTTACTGGAACCTGATAGCACCTGTTTGCGCCCAAAACTCTTTAAAATATGTTGTGGAAGTAGTCAGCTGAATCCTCTGATGCTTGAATTCAGCATATGAAGAGCTACCTATACTGAGCAACCTCAGCTCTGGAGTTTAACCTATGCAAGCCAAGATGAATAAAAAGGGTTTGTCTCCTCGAATGCTGGAGTCCATCATATGGGAGAGGGTATCCTCGGGTGTCAGCAGACCACACTTGAAGGTATAGAGCAATGAGAGGCGACTGCTTTTAAGGACTGGGACTGCCTGTGGGATAGAGAATTCAGACCCCCCCCCCCCCTCCCTTTTTTTCCACACCTATGTGTTAGGTGCTGTTGGGGGTGTGCTGGGGGGGGTAAGACTCCTTTGTCTAGTTCCCTCCAGAATAACTTAAGTCAGGCTTGAAAATTGCAATACAGGCCTGAGTCCTTTGTCCACCACACATGGCTGAGGTCCAAAATTGGAAAGGGCCACAGTTGATCCGGGATCCGTATGGACAGAGTCAGGAACATATGTGATCCGGTCAAACCGCCGGTCGCTCTCACCGTGTCTGCAGCTAACTTAAAGGGATACTTCACCCGTTGAAACATGAATTTGTATTGACAATTGGGTCATATATGTAGTAGAAATGTGAAATAAATTTTGAAGTTGGTGCCGTCTTGACCGAGAAAAGGCAGAAATTGTCCTTTTGGCTCATGTGGATGAAAGACAACAACTCCCAGAATGCACAGCATCACAGGCCACTCCCCACTGAAGTTAGGGTGCTCTATTAACAGACATTTACGACAACACATACGACAGTTTCCTCAACTGATTTGAGATTACTTCCAGAAGGAATTAGCATCTTCGAAATTCCTGGCATCAAACAGTCTTTATTTCTGTGTCCATAGGCAAACAGTGAGAGCACCAACACCACCAGTCCGCCCAAGCTCGAGCCGGCCCGGGCTCCTTGTCCTCACAGCTGCCAATAGGCTGGTCATGTGTCTCGACTGCAGCAGCCACAGCAGCAGCAGCCGAGGCACACGACTTGACTGTCGGCAGCAGCCGCCTCGTCGCTATAGTGCAGTTTGTAGAGATAGCCACGAACATCCGATTTGCGCACCAGACCTTCAAAATCCCCTTCATCCATATCAGTTTGAAGTTGATACATACTTTGATTATACTTTCGTTCCTCTCAACTTTCTCCACAGAGCCTGTTATCATAGCTTCCAAGCAAGATGGTGGACATTGAGTTTCGATTCTGGGAGTGAGGTCCCACCCACTGATCTGTAATAGGTCTGTAGCTTCAATATTAAAACATACTAAGAGTAAAATGGCTCCCCACAGTTTAAATCCAGAGGAAAAAATTGTTCCAAACACTTTACATCCACAAAGATCCATGGACTGCTGAAATAAACTCAGCTGTTGTCATATCAACCTATAACAGCCAATGATATCCTTTCTTAAAAGGAGTTGCCTCCCATTGTTCTCACGGCCAATTCAACGTGACTGTGCAGATGACTGACAGACAACCACATCAAAAAAAATGGATTCAATAAAAAGATGTCAAAACAAGATCTGCACACCAAGGAGCTTCTGTTCAAAGGATTTATTGACAAGTGACGTTTCCAGCCAACAGCTCTTCCTCAGACATTTCTTGTAACCAATCTCAAAACATGGATATGTTGCTCCTGACAATACGTCAGGGTGATTTATTCATGCACACACTCAGGACATTGATTTAAAGTACAAGTGGCTTTCAGAATTGCATTAAAAGTACTTATAAGTTGAAATTGACAATAAGATAGGCATAAGAATTGCTTGAGAGAAAACAGGCAAATCTATTGTTTGCTGTAGTCTACAAAGAAGATGGCTACCTACAGTTGTCAGAGAAAATGTTATATCGGGCTCCTGATAGCCTAGCAGTCATGACGCATGCCCCCTTTACAGAGGGTGTTGTCCTCTTAGTAGTGGCCTGGGGGGAATCTGACCTTGGCTCATTGCTGAATGTCATCCCCCTCTCCATCCTCCCAACATTTCCTGTCTGTTGTCAGCTGTCCTTTCTACCAAAGGCGAGACAGGTCCAAAAATATAACTTTAGAGGATTACTAGTTCAACTTCACAGCTCGTAGAGAGTTTACCATTTCCATCAATCTCTCTTATGTTTTTAAGTTGAATAAATTATTAACTTTAGTCAGCTGACAATAAAAATACAAATTAATTATCTTGGAAGCATTGTTTTAGCAATCTAATCATACAAATAATAAATAGCAGGCAAAGGGTGTATGCTATAACTTTAAAGCTCTTGTGTTTTGTTTTATCAGGTGACCCTTGTCCACTCAAGTGAGGCTGTCACAGTTCTGCACAGGCTGAATAGAGAACATCCTGATAGGGTTCTCTTTAAAAGCCTCTTTCGCTCAGGTTCAATCTCTGAAACTACCTCCTGTAACGTTTGCCTACGTCAAACCAACCAGCCACAGTGCAACTACACTGACCTCCGTACAGGCGAGCCTTGGTTCTGCTACAAGCCAAAGAAACTGAGCTGTGATGACAGGATTAACCACATGAGAGCCGGATTCAATGTAAGACTCAAGGACAAAGAGGAGAAGCTTTTCCAAAGGTGAGGGAGCACAGCAGTAGAAAAGTTGCATGTAGTTTTACATCAAATGACTATAAGTATGTGTCACCTGGTGGAAAATGTTGTGTTTGTAACTACAGGTGGCAAAGATGAAATCTTAAAGAGCCCATATTATGCCCTTTTTGGGGTTCGTATATTTAATCTATGTACCTACTAAAGTATGTTCACAAAAGCTAAAGTTCTAAAATAAAGTGTCTGGCTGTATCCGAATTGCCAAGTACCTACTCAATCTTTCAGTAGGCAGTACCTACTATCCGTGCTGTATACTGTTAGTACCTACTATTCAGTAGGCGCGCACAGTAGGCAGATATTTGTTCCTACTTCTTCTGATTCATTCAGTATGGAAGTGACGTCATTTACATTTCCCAAACCGGCCACATTCACCCGTTTTTGGGGGGGGTTTTTTGTTCAGCTTTATTCAAGAAGAGTAATGCGCATATACAGTCAGGTAAACAAAAAACAATATCACAATGTAAATCAAGTAAAAGGCAGATTAAATAACTAAATAACATACAGTAGCCTTCATAAAGAAAAGTACAAATGAAAGACAGTAATATATAGAATATAAAGTAAAATAAACCAATAAAGATGCTTTAAAATAGTGAAATCATTATTTAGATAGAGGGAGAAAGGTTTTATAATAATGCAGGTATTTGTTATATTTTCTGTTGTTAATTAAAAGTAGCGATTTCAGTCGGGACTTTAACTCTAGATTAAAAATGTATTCAATTTCATTCGTTTGTTTTGATTTTGAGGCGGACGTGACGATTTACGTTTAATTTCGCACAGCATTGTGGGTGGTAAAATACAATTAATTTCCTGAAAGCACGCATCCAATCCATACTGCATGAAACCCAGAAGTTAATATCCATACTGAAATGTTCAGTATACTGAGGTGGACCCAAAATATGCATACTGAATGACCACGAAAGTTCAGTATGCTGAAACTCCCTACTGAAAAGTATGTACTGCATACTGAACTGTGACAATTCGGAAAGGGCCTTTATTTTCATGTACTGCCGCTCCATGCACTGGCTCACTTCTGACTCTCTCGCTAAGGCTCTGAAGTGCCCACGTGTGCCAAGTCTGATCTGATTGGTCGGCCTGTCGGCTCTGCCATAATTGGTCAGTCGCTCAGCCACTCTGGCTTCGAGGGCCAGGGAGTAAAAACATTAGCACCTTAGCACTACTGTGCTACCGCAGGCTACGGCATATCGTGGGCGTGCCACAGAAGTTAATGGGCATACAACATGAACTACTGGGCTTGCCACAATGAGCCAATGGGCTTAGATCAATGATATCACACTGACAAGACGTCACACTGACATTTTTTTTTTTGAGGGGAGCTAGAACCGAGCGTTACATGCAGCTAGTGCTCCAGCTAACAGGAGGACATAGGAGAAGCCGCATTTCCGCGGACTTTGAATTTTTGCAAATATATGTTCCTAAACATGCACAGGACAGATGGAAAACACACTAAAGAGAAATATAAAACCAGAAAAAGCATAATATGGGCCCTTTAAGATGTGTATAATGTAAGATAATACCTATCAAAATACTTATTCTGAACAATTAAAGTTGACTCATCAACAAAACTATGATGTGTATTGTTTCAAACCAAATATGGAGGCAGAGTAATGTATTGTGACTAAAGTGTTACCATTTGTTAAATCATGTTTTACATTTACATAATGTAGTGTGTTTAAGAGACGAGAGTTTTTTCCCCCCAGCAAAGTCAACCTGAAAGTCTTCATTCAGGCTTCAGGACCGGCCAATGTTACTGTGCTGCCTCCAAGGAAAGGTAAAGCACAACTTTTCTACTTCCACCTTTAAAAAAATGTCCATGTGACCTTGAAAATAAAAATGGTTTGGTAAAAAATTCATACAACCTTCCTGTGTGTATTCCAGCCACAGCATTGGCGGAATGAAGTACTACACAATAAAAATAAAAAGTGACAGTAGCTGTTTATCTCTTTGCCTTGTATAAAGGATATCCCATATAAGGCAAAAATAAGTAAATGAACCAGATTCCATCTACAAAACTGAGATAGAGTTGCAAGTGTATGGAAAGCCGATTGAAGATTTAATAGATATCCTTGATATCAAAGCTCAGTTTCCTGTACTAGTCAAGTCTTTGGCCGCACTAGTTTACTAGTAGAACGTTGAAAGACTTACTAGTAAACTAGTAGAAGGCAAAAAGTCCTACATGTTAACTAGTAAGGTGCAAAATATCTACTAGTTAACTAGTAAGATATATTTTGTGTCTACTAGTTAACTAGTGAGCCTAAAAATGTTTACTAGTTAACTAGTAAGAGCAACAATGTCCACTAGTAAGCTAGTTTGACTCTTTTTAACCTTACTTGTAAACTAGTGAGGTTCAAAATGTTTACTAGTTAACTAGTAAGACCCAAATGTCCACTAGTATCACTAGTGATGCAGTTACAAATTTTACTAGTTTACTAGTGAGGCTCTTAAAGTCCACTAGTTAACTAGTTAGTGCAAAAAGCCAACTAGTAACACTAGTTCAGGACATTTTAGTGCTACTAGTGAACTAGTGAGGCTCAAAATGGTTAACTAGTTATCTAGTAAGAGCCAAAATGTCACTAGTTACACTAGTAGTACTCTTTTTGGCATAACTAGTTAACTACTACGGTTTTAAATGTTAACTAGTACTACTAGTGAAAGCCAAAATGCGTACTAGAAACACTGGTTGAAGTACATGCTAATGAGTGGGTGGGATCAGGGCACTCTCTGAACCTTATCATTGGTTCTCCATATAGACCTCCACCTTCCACAAATTTAACCCTTTGTAAGAAGGAGCAAGTGCTGTGAAGCAACGGCTTCTTCCTTACTTTCCATGGAGAGTTAAACATGAAAATTATATATATATTAAATGTTAGAATTGTTTTATAAACTTAAAATAAGATAGAAGATCATTTTAGAACTGTTCTCATGATTTTCTTTTTCCTTTTTTATCCCATCAAGACAGTATTTACAGAAAACATAAGAGAGTACATCTTGAGGTCAGTAGAGTGATAAAAAAACTGCCCAAGGTGCAATTGTAAGTTAAAAATGAATGTGTAAATATTTCATATAAATTCATGCTGTTTTTAAAAAGGAAAAAAGTTAATCAGATAAAATTATGGACTTTAAAACAACTGGAACTTGATACAGAATTTATGTTCTTGTACTTAATACGTTTTAATTTGGCCTAAAGTCGGTAAACTAAGAAAAATAAAGGGATTCAAGATTAGGGCCACGTAAAAGGAAAAAAACCTAAAATTTAGAGATTCAAATAGTTAATTTATGAGAATAAAGTAAAATGTACGAGATTAATTTCTTGTTTAAGTCTATATCAGAAGAGCAGCAGCCGCCTGTTCGAAAATGATAAACGTGGAGCATCTTGTTATAGTAAAGGTATAACAAATAAGGAAATAGGCTCCTTCCTTGTGTAGTCTGTAAAAACAGTTGGACAAATATATCCGATAAGTTGTTTTATCGGCATATCATCATCACAAATAAAATATCAGGACCCTGAAAAGATACTGGAAGCAACTGTAACTTTTGTGGCAGAGGAAAATGCTTTAGGGGTTCTCCTTTCATCATTTATGCGCAGGCGGAAGGCTTCTCTATGAATGTACATTTTCGTAAATTTATGACTTTATTCTCCTAAATTTACATGTTTATTCTCGTACATATACAAGATTAATCTCAAATATTTTCTTTTTTTTTCTTTAAGATGGCTCTACTCCATCGTATAAATGAGCCCTAAAAATGTAATTTTATTATGTAAAATGAAGGTTAAAAATTGTACTACTTGCAAATGCCCCACAGATGGGGCTATACGTATATATACTGCTAATGTCTACAGTACTAGTACTACTAGTTGACATTTAGGCCTTTACTAGTGCTACTAGTAGCACTAGTCGTACTAGTAGCACTAGTCGTACTAGTAGCACTAGTCACACTAGTCGTACTAGTCGTACTAGTAGCACTAGTCGCACTAGTCGCACTAGTCGTACTAGTCGCACTAGTTGCACTAGTAGCACTAGTCGCACTAGTAGCACTAGTCGTAGACAGAGACAGAGAGAAAGAGAGAGACAGACAGACAGAGACCCTTTTCTTGGCTCGGTGCCACTTCAGCTAGCACGGATAAGCACCTCCACTACTGTGGGTCTACCTGCTGAAGGTGTTTATAAACTGATGTCTCATTGTCTTAAGTCCAAGATGATTCAAATAAGTTGGCTGTGGCTCTAACTCTTGGGCAAGGAAGTGGCTGAGTACTCTTTCTCACTACAGCCTTCGCAACTACAATCGCCGCTGCAGCTCCGAGTGATAAACGCATTTAGTTCCGGAAAGTCTTTCACAATAAAAGTCCCTTATTACCATCTATGTGATGTGCTTTTATTTTGAAGCAGATGAATGAGGAAGTTGGGTCTTGTAAGCAGCTGCAACTTAACATATCTCAGATGTGTGAAAATAAATACTTAAAACCAAGAAGATTCAGTTAGAAGCTTCAGTATTTAATAGGTAAACAAACAGAGACTAAAACATCTAATATTTAAGCTCATACAGGTTCATTTTAAAACAATAAATGGATTATCTTTCATCTCAGGTTTAGTTGCAGCTACATCAGCCTTTGAGGCTGCATTTGAGACTAAAACTAAAAAAACTAAAAACACTAAAATACTCTACACTGTTTATGATTGAGACAAAGTCCCCTTTAGTATTTTCTTAAATAGTTTAAACATTTCCCTTCATAAAACAGCTGAATACTTGAACATATAATATATTATATAATATAATAGTAGAATATATTGGTATATCAGAAGAGCAGGAGCCGCCTGTTCGAAAATGATAAACGTGGAGCATCTTGTTATAGTAAAGGTTTGACAAATAAGGAAATAGGCTCCTTCCTTGTGTAGTCTGTAAAAACAGTTTGACAAATATATCCGATAAGTTGTTTTATCAGCACATCATCATCACATTGTCATAAAATATTAGGACCCTGAAAAGATACTGGAAGCAACTGTAATTTTCCAAAGAAAAAACCACACTGACTTGGATGAAACTGTCTCTTTTGTGGCAGAGGAAAATGCTTTAGGGGTTCTCCTTTCATCATTTTTTTATTCTCCTAAATTTACATGTTTATTCTCGTACATATACACGATTAATATTTTCTCTTTTTTTCTTTAAGATGGCTCTACTCCATTGTATAAATGAGCCCTAAAAATTTAATTTTATCATGTACAGTAAAGGTTAAAAATTGTACTATTTGCAAATGCCCCACAGATGGTGCTATACGTACATATACTGTCTACAGTACTAGTACTACTAGTTGACATTTAGGCCTTTACTAGTAGCACTAGTCGCACTAGTAGTACTAGTCGCACTAGTACTACTAGTGGACATTTAGGCTCTTACTAGTAGCACTAGTCGCACTAGTCGCACTAGTAGCACTAGTGCTACTAGTAAGAGCCTAAATGTCCACTAGTAGTACTAGTGCAACTAGTGCAACTAGTGCTACTAGTGCTACTAGTACTACTAGTGCTACTAGTACTACTAGTGCTACTAGTGCTACTAGTAAGAGCCTAAATGTCCACTAGTAGTACTAGTACTGTACACATTAGCAGCATATATAAGTATAGCACCATCTGGTGGGCATTTGCAAGTAGTATCTTAATTTTATGCTTTAATCATAAAAACATGACTCCTCATATGATAAAATAAATCTTGATGTATGTTGCTTGTGCACTTATATCTGCTCACTGCCATATGTATCTTTTCTGCTGGGCTTACTCGAAGCTAAACCAAGAAAATTTAGCAAGTCCATAACATACCGATCCTGCAACTGACACCTAATGGCCGAAATGCATATCTCTCTGCAGCTACTTCTTGTATAAGGGTTATTTCTCCAGATGTAAGAGGCTGACTTTATATTTATAAAAAAAAACATTAAAACATCTTATTCACATTAGTTTAATAATTCAGTATACACTTGTCCTAAATCCTAATATTTTATTCAATATTTTGCATGATCATCTAGCAGATAAACTAAATATAAACACATTTCTTTCATGATTTAAAAAGAATATACTTAATTTTTCACTTTGCAAGTTTCAAACTAGTATATCTTTCATATTTTATATTGCCATATTTTCAATGGCAAGAAAAAAGCTAAAATCCTTGAACATTAATGTTGTGCAAGATTTTATTTTATTCAATCATACTACTATATATAAATATTAAGTGATGGGTTATTGTTTATTTTTTGACAAATACTGCAATAATGAATAATCATTAGTGATTTTTAGAACAAATAATATTAAGTTTAAAAAACAAAAAAGTTGAAAAGATGAATAACAATGTAACATCAGATTTGGATTTAATCTGTGCATGGGTCATAAAATTCTATCAAAGGGCATTCAGTGAGTTACCATTTAGTGATAATATAACATGACACAAATGAACAAACCTTCAGAAATTAGTGCTGGTTTAACCGAAGGTACTATTCAGATCTGGCCCTTTAAGGCTGGCAAAATCGCAGGTTTGACATTGACCAATCAAAATCCTTGTCCCGCCTGCTTCATTATCATGCGGTCAACTAGTGCTACTAGTACTACTAGTGGACTGCCAGTTGACCTTTACAAGTAAACTAGTAAGGACCAAATGTCCACTAGTTACACTTGTAAAACACATTTCGACTTTACTAGTAAACTAATGATGTTCAAAAAGCTTAACTAGTTTATTACTAAGGGCATAAATGTCACTAGTACCACTAGTTGCAGTCTAATTGACCTTACTAGTTAACAAGTAGGGCTCAAGATGTTTACTAGTAGTACTAGTGAAAGAAAAATGCACTCTAGTATCACTACTTTGGTCTTCAAGGCCTTACTAGTAAACTAGTGAGGCTTTAAATGCATACTAGTTAACTAGAACGAGTCAAAATGTCCACTAGTTTACCAGTTAGACCATGTGTGACCTTGCTAGTTAACTAGTGAGGCCAAACACAGTTAACTAGTTAATAAGTAATTGCAAAATGTCCACTAGTTGTACTAGTAAGGGTCTTTTTGGCAGTACTAGTTAACTAGTTAGATAAATTGTCAGTCACAAGTTAACTAGTAGTCAACAGATCAGACTACTAGTTGACATCTGTGTTCAACTAGTTAACTAGTAAAGGGTTTTAACTGTTCAGCATGTAAACTTGTCAAATTATATCATTCAACTAGTTTACTAGTCAAAAGCAAATGTCCACTAGTATGCTGTTTTGTCTGCAACTAGTTTACTAGTGCCACACAAAGTCTTCAACTAGTTTACTAGTGAGGCCAAAAAGACACTAGCTAGTTTAACTAGTGGACAAAAAGGCACTTACTAGTTTACTTGTAAACTGTATAGGGCTTTACTAGTAAACTAGTAAGGTTAAAACCGCCCTCAGTAGTGTGACTAGTTGACATTTTAGCTGCTACATGTTAACTAGTAAACGTTTCCGAGCCTCACTAGTTAACTAGTAGGTTTAAAAATATTCCAACTAGTGTTACTAGTTGACACATTTTATCTTACTAGTGACCTAGAAAGGTAAAATGCATCTTCACTAGTGTTACTAGTTACCATTATGAGATTAACTAGTTAACTAGTTAGCATTTTTTTTCTAACTAGTTAACTAGTAAAATGAAAACAGATATCGACTAGTAAGCTAGTTCTAATCCTGCAATCCAACTAGTTGACTAGTGTGCAATATGTAAATGCAGTGGGTGGGATTATAACCAAATCCTGGGTCCTGATTTGATGTTATTTTTGTTCTTGATTTTTAGAGCCTATCATAAGCCTCAATCCACACTTATCCCCCACCTCCTCGTTACCATTTTGTGCAACAAGTGTTACTAGTGACATTTTAGATCTAGCTAGTTTACTAGTAAAATATTTTAGTCTCACTAGTTAACTAGTACGACTTGTAAAGATGATACTAGTGCAACTAGTGGACATTTGTTCTCTTACTAGTTAACTAGTGAACATTTAGAGCCGCACTAGTTAACTAGTAAGACTAATAAAGCCATCTCTAGTACAACTAGTGGACCTTTCTGCTCTTACTAGTTAACTTGTAAAAACTTTTTATCCTAACTAGTTAGCTAGTATGGTCCATATATATGCCTTTCTAGCTTACTAGTGGACATTTGGGCTCTTACTAGTTAACTAGTAAACATTTTTAGGCTCACTAGTTAACTAGTAGACACAAAATATATCTTACTAGTTAACTAGTAGATATTTTGCACCTTACTAGTTAACATGTAGGACTTTTTGCCTTCTACTAGTTTACTAGTAAGTCTTTCAACGTTCTACTAGTAAACTAGTGCGGCCAAAGACTTGACTAGTACAGGAAACTGAGCTTTGATATCAAGGATATCTATTAAATCTTCAATCGGCTTTCCATACAAGTGTTCACTTAATTCACTAAATAAGTACTATTTTACTATCAAAAATTCTACACTACTTAACAACTGCAAAGTTTTGCTTTTAGTAAGGAGGAGCCGTTTTTGTCACTGTTTTGTAAGCGAGCAGCAGAGTTTTAAATTTGATGCGAGCAGTAACTGGGAGCCAGTGTAAGGAGATGAACAGCGGAGTGACATGTGCTCTTTTAGGAAGGTTGAAGACCAGTCGTGCTGCTGCATTTTGTATCATCTGCAGGGGTTTGATTGTGCATGTAGGAAGACCTGCCAGTAGAGAGTTGCAATGCGTGATATCACGCATGGACGCATGTAGCATGTAGCATGTTCTGACAGTTCTGACAGGTAAGGTCTGATCTTCCTGATCTTGTACAGGGCAAATCGACATGACCGGGCAATCGAGGCTACTTGAACCTTAAAAGTTAGCTGGTCATCAATCATGACACCCAGGTTCCGGGCAGACTTTGTGGGTACGAGTTTGGTTGTTCCAAGCTGGATATTGATCTGTGGTTGCATAGAGGGACTGGCTGGGATGACAAGGAGCTCAGTCTTTGAAAGTTTGAGTTGAAGGTGGCGTTCATTCATCCATTTAGAGATATCAGCAAGATTTTAATGAATGCTTTTATGTGTAAATACATGATGTCATCTTAAATCTCAAGTGAAATAAGCAAGGTCAAGGAGAGACCTTGTTTTGGTATTTTAAGGGGATCTGTTGACAATGTATGATAAAACAATGACTATAATAACCAAAAGCTTGATCAATATTTCTTAGGGCAACCTGAGGTTGATCAAGGCAGTGGGAAGTCTGGACTCTCTGGGTATTACTACCAGGGTGTGTGGCGATCACTTGGTGGCACCAAAGTCCACCAATTCAACAACTCCTCTGCCATCAGTCAGTGTCTGAAAGGAAAGGTGGTCCACATGTATGGAGACTCCACCCTAAGGCAATGGTTTGAGTACTTTGATGCTTCACTTCCAGGTAGTTGATACACAGTAATTTCAGGTGAAAGTTTATTGTTTATATCACAGCTAAACTTGTTCCTTCTGTCATACTTTCAGATGCTAATGAGATTAACTGGAATAGTCCGAAGCAAACTGGACCTTACATGATATGGGACAATGCAAAAAACATCTTGGTAACATACCGTGTCCATGGTCCTCCTCTTAGTTTTATCTACGTCCCAATCAGTGAGCTGCATTACATTGCAAATGAAATTGACGGGTTGGTAGGTGGCACCAACACAGTTGTAGTTATTAGCATCTGGGCCCACTTCAGCCCTTTCCCAATTGAGCTCTACATCAGACGGCTTCAGAGCATCCGCAGGGCGGTGATTCGTCTGTTGAACAGGGCTCCAGACACACTGGTGGTCATCAGGACTGCAAACCTCAGAGGTTTAACACCTTCTGAATCGTTAAACTACAGTGACTGGTACACACTACAGCTGGACAAGGTGCTAAGAGCTCTGTTCAAAGGATTTAATGTTCGACTAGTGGACGCTTGGGAGATGACTCTGGCCCACCATCTGCCTCACAACATTCACCCAGGCCGTCCTATTGTTAAGAATATGATTGACATTCTCTTGTCCTACATATGCACCAAATAGGGCTAGTAGATGTGCATGTATTCAGTAAGGGAGTTAATATTTCAATCAATTAATCGTTTGCAAAAAATATATATTATTTTGCCATATTAAAAAAGAAGTTTTATTAATAAAGAATGATATCTGTCCAAATGCATAATATACCTAGACGTTTAAAACAATCATATGACTTGAATGCATTTTTTCCTCAAACAACAACAAAAAAGAATTTGGATATTTCGGATAATTTATTTTCCACAATTAAATTTTGCAATGACTCTAAGTAACTTCCCTAAAGAGGCCCATCCAATTGCACTTACTCTTGTTGCCCTGCTAAGGGTTGCATGCATTATAACTGTGAAAACCAAAGTTTGAAAAATTAATAGATATGATCTGTCTATAGGAGAGAAAAGGGAAACACAGAAAAGAGTTAGAGGAGTAAGTGTCGGGACACTGGCAGACATGAAGGAGATGAATGCTGGTTGGAGGGCCCCCCCAATTAATTCTTGCTCAGGGACCCAAGAGACTCTACAGTAGAATCGTCACTGGACCAAGGGTGTTAACAGGTTTTCCAGTGGAGGTCTAAATCCCAAACAATATAATCAACGGTGTAATACACGACGACCACATCCTGTAAATGTTCATTCATTTGAGCAATGCAACAGAACATGCATGTGGGAGAAACCTAACATTTTGTTGTTATTGTCTGAAGCAGACATTCATGGTTAGATCTGTAACAAATGTTAGCTGCGTGTCTTCTCATTGTTTCTCTGCAGCTCCAGTATCTGGTACAGATCATTACCATTTGTCAACAGATCTATCAATCATTATGTTACTCCCCCTTTGATATCATTAAAATAAATAAATACAAAATTAACTTCCCATAAAGATTATCACTGTTGTTGGTTACAGTGTTTGGATGATAAGTCGTGGAAAGTTAGGAAATGTAATCTCTTTAATAGTTGTACTTTCTAAAAACATTTTTATATGAAATATTTTAATTATATATGAATAGTTTAATAATCGTTAATAAAAAGAATAAACTGCTTATCACAGTGTATTTCTTTAAAAGGAAATTGAAGCAGTTGACAGCTCAAGTTGGGGAAATATTGTCATTCAGGGAATATGTATCAACATTATCTAGATTTCTATATGTTTGATGAAACTTTAAATTAAGCAACCACATTTTTGGTAATGCAATGGCTTTACAGATTTATTTTAATTAAATCCATCATTGTTAATTATTTGTGAAAGGGGTACCTCAGTAATGACCTTGACAAAAAAGACATTTTTAGACAAAAATTGTGAAGAATATCAAATCTCCAAATGCATTTATAGGATTTGTACTAGAATCTACCACCAGCATAAAAAACAAAAGATGTTGGCCCTCTCACAGACTTCATCATCATTCTGGTGGCCCTCATGGAATAAGGAACAGGGGTTTTCCAGGTTTTCCAGTGGAGGCCTGAAGCCCAACCGATGTTGTCACCAGCACGATGCCAGTTACCATTCAGACTGGCAGAGCCACAGCGACCGTACCACCAACCACCACCACCAGCACTGAATGTACACTCCCTCTGAGCAATGTCACCAAAGATGCATGGAGAACAACCATCGTTGTCACGGTCGATGGTGCTAAAGCCGTAGTTGTTCTGGTCACGGAGTGCATCACCTATGTACAAAAAAGAAAATATTTAAAAGAAGTCTTAGTTTAGGCCCTGATTGATCCTTTATTAATCCTGTGAGTGGAAATTCAGTTTTACACTCTGTCTAATGAACATGCTACACAAACATGCACAAACAGGATCCTATGGACATGCATTAATGCAGAGGCTCAGAGTGTTTGTCCTTTTGTACCTATTTTTGAACTGTAGAAAAGCTATAAATTTGAAACTGAAACTTAAATGGTCAGAAATATAAATATGACAGTGTCCCCCTGGGTATGTATTTGTATTTCCAATAGATACGTTGTATGTAAAGATCTGAAAGCTTTTTCACACCTGTTTATTTGAAACTAGGGCTGCCAAACGATGACATTTATTAATCATGATTAATTGCTACATTTCAATAGTTTATTGCGATTAAAAAAATGTTTAATCCCATGTAAGATATTCCATATTTTTATTTTTAAGTTCAGCTTTTATTTTTAATTTGTATACAGTACTTACTGTTTGAATTGAACCCTGCTTTAAAAAAATTAAATAAAGTAAGGACCTTCTGGTAGATCGTAGCTCATGGCAGCAGTGTCCTTCTTTTTCATCACTATGACTACAGGGAAACACTACAGAGGCTTATCCATTGTGTTCCTAACGAGACAAAATAACATGCGATTAATCCAGAGTCAAAAAAATGAATGCATTAATTTCAGTCCTTAAATAATCTGGTTTAACTAGTTATTGCTGACAGCTCTATTTGAAATGTGTCATGACCTTGGGATAATCCTTATCATGACAGTTTTGTCAGTAAATACTTGCACTCACATTGACAACAATTCTGTAAGAGTTGACCCTATCGTGTACATTTATATCCTGCTTGAGCCTCCTTTGTGTGACATTAATTGGCAGAGCAGCACACCAGTGCCCCATTGGTAAACACAACATGTGTGATTGAACTTTGCCTTAGAACATGGAGCAAACTAAGTGTTACAATTGAATACCTCTGCCTCCAGGGCCTAGCAGTTTTATATTTGGCATTAATACCCCTTACCCAATCAATTATTCTTCACATGGCTCAGATGTAGTCCATACTCTTTCTTGCATTATTTAGAGAGACCCAACATTAAGTGTCAAGTTCTAATGAATAGGCAGAAACCTCATACAGAGCCAGACTTCTTTGGTGAACAGGCAATCTGCCACAACCAGATGGGCTGAGCAAGATGGCTCAAAAGTGAGTTCTTGCCGGCTGTATGGTGGAGCCCGAATGTGCACGCCTTTGCCTCAGGATTCCTTAATACTACAAAAATAATTTAACTTTAGCAACATGTCTCTGGTCCCACATAAACGAGGACACACTCTGGATCTTGTTGTTTTTTTTTTACATCTGGCTTGTCTGTTAACTCAATGTACATGGCTGTCTTAACTTCTGATCATAAATGCATAGTTTATGATAGAGCTCTGCAGGCACAGCCTCAGAAAAAATAAATACAGTCTTGCTTTTTCGATTAACACTCTGCAGCTAGACTTTCAGCCCTTTGCCTCTGAGATTTCCTTTTCATTTCCAATGTTTACCTCTTTTAATGACTCTTTAAAATTGTTAAACAATCTCTGCATTTCAGCTCTTGATACCATGGACCTTTAAAATACCTGACTAGCCCCTGTTGTAATTCCAACCCCTTGGCTAAATGATGCTATTCGTCATTTTCTTCTATTGTGCAGCTAAAGGGGAATCTATATAATTTATTCGACCTAACCACAGCTTTTGACACCACTGACCATATCATTTTAGTTGATGGACTATTGAACTGAGTGGGTATCTCTGGAACGGCTCTCAATTGGTTTTCTTCATAACCTATCTGACAGACACTTCCAGGTTCAAATTTACAACTATGTATCTTCTTCTGCTCCCATCTTGTGTGGGAACCTCAGGGTTCAATCCTCAGATCTATTTAGTTTACATTATATATGTTTTCTCTGTGTCATCTATATAACTATTGTTGTGGTATATCTTGTCATTGTTATGCTGACTACACACAACTCTATTTCTCCACCAAGCCTAATAAGCTTAATAACCTTACCCCCCTACACCAGTGTCAAGCATCTGTTGCAAATTTGTCTGCTTGAAATTTTCCTCCACTTAAATTCTGACAAGACTGACGTCCTGGTGATCGGCCCTCTTCCCAAAAGAGGTCAGGCAGCATATTGGCCCCAGGCAAGTAACATTAAGTCCTCCTCCGGGAACCTTGGTATTCTTAACTTCGACAAACACTTTACCAAAATTGTACAGTCTTGCTTATTTTATTTGAGAAATATTGCCTAAATAAGCAAAAAAAAGCGAGCCATTGTTCATGTGAATGTGCCAATCACTTCTGGCACGCATCCATAGCTTCTTTTATGGTCCTGTTGCCATCACAGACAATAAGAAAGCATAGCTTTCCTTCTTTTTCTGATCTCCAATCGTTTTTAGGCAAGTTGTAGACGGCTTTGTCCACAATTATCTGAGCAAATTTGCAAAAGTATGATGATTGTATAAAACATAGTGGAGACTTACCGAAACATGGCTAGGGAGTTACACAGTCCACATTATTTTAAATGAACTTCTTCAGTTTTGATCCAACTCCAAAACTCTTTTAACTTGCATGAATAAAAGTGGAAGACATGAGATTGAGATCAATAAAGAAAAATAAATAGAAAATAATTACCTGCAGTTCCACTGTATCTCCCCACATGCAGTTTGAAATGTTCACTCTCGTTGCCTAAGTGGAAGTTTTGGTACTCAGCATAAGCAGTTCCGTTCTTGTGGTCCCACAGGTCGACTCTCAGGGTCCACTTCTTGTTTTTCTTCTTGGTCAGGTGGGAAACCTTCTTCAGGCCGAGCCAGTGGTCATCTGGTGGAATCAGCAGAGCACATGGGCAGGGTTTACATTTTTTTGGGGCTGAGCCGAAAAAGCATGTCAGGTTTCAACAATAGCAAGGCAAAGAGCATGTCCCTTAACAAAGATAGATGTAATTGCGGCCAGGAATAGTGAGCACGGATGGGACTTAACTATGCATGTTCTTTAAGTTTCTTTGTATTTAAAAACGATCATCCTGGGACTTAAATATTCACTGTGCCCAGTAACGCTTGTCATAGTCATCACAGGTAAGATTGTAAGATTTAAGCATGGTTCATTTACAGTACGTCACTAGTCAGTACCCATGATGTGTACCTCCTGTGATTTGTAACTACACAACTATAAATTAAGGCTAAGCGTCACACCCCTCAACAACCTGTTTTAAAACCTGTCATTATTACAAATCATGACACACACCGCAGTAAACAAGTACTTACTTCTCAGGTTTCCAAAACCCTTACTATATGCCGCCCATTTCTTGTAGAAGGAAGGTTTTCCTTCACTGCGCCTCTGAAACACAGTCCAGCCTCCATCAGGCCGCATCTCACAGTACACCTGAGCACCAAGTCCAGAATACAAAGACAACCATGCCACGTCAGGATTTTACACACTAAAGACGGAGTAAGACATATTCTATACAGCCTTGGAAAAGATTGAATACACTGTATGATTTAATGGATTTATTTGCCCACGTTCAAAGCTTCTGAGAGTAGTTTTTAGCTGGTTACAAAACGGACTGAAATGAATACTGGTGCCCGTACATGTGAGTACTGAATATTTATATAGGGTTATTTTTATTATGTCTCGGCTGCTGCCCAGTCAATGTCAGATAAGGCTGTTAGGGGCACCAGAAAACAGTTTCCAAGACCAACACAAAGGTCCTCTCCTTGGCCTCATCCTACCACCCTTTATTAATCCCTGAGGGATATTCTGGTTTACTTATGTTATTGAGAGACATGCTTCTCACACATATAGGCCCGAATCATACATGCACATGTTCATGCACAAACAGGACCTGTGGACATGCATTAGAGGAGAGATGTTAGAGTGGGGCGGGCACCAGAGCAGTTGCTCAAGGGCACCTTGGCACCTCAGGAGGTGTGCTGGTACCTCTCAAGCTACTAGACCAACTTCCATATTATGGTCTGCATCATGGTCTTGAACCAGTGACCCTCCGGTTCCCAAACCAAGTCCCTATGGACTAAGCTACTGCCACCACCTATTTAATGTACAAGTAACTGGGCTTCTTTAAAGGGAAAACAATTAAAATATTTTTATTCAAAGAATGGATATTTAACTTTTTTTTAAATGACTGACATAGAAACCCTTTGATATTGTGTCATATCTTAAGTCTTGTAAAACAAAATAAAGTATATTATACTAAATTTCAAAATCATAAAAGATTAAGCAGTAATCTCTGCTCTTGGATGCGGTGGACATGTCCGTTGACTTCGCTGAATCCACACCAACTTGTTGGAGAGACATGCATCTTATTTGTGGAATGAAGCTAGCATAAGTGCAGACCGTAATTTTGAAAATTGTAAGTAATTTATGGAGATGGAGCGGGAGAATTGAAAATGCTATGGAGATCAGGCCTTCTACGTTGTTGCAGTGCTACGTGGGCGGGATTATGCCAAGAAACCCCAGTACATCATTGAGCCCCCTATTTGGCCCCACCCAAAGAAAACTGAACCTTAAAGTGATTAAACTTTAAGGTTCAGAATCCACAATTCAGTCAAACAAAGTTCTCGGTATTTTCAAATGTTTACAGCTACTTTTTTCCAATTTACATACAATTTCTGATTTTGCTTTACATGAGCGGTAAAGCTTGCGTGAGTAATTTGTGTGCATTTTGGTGCCCCATGTGGACAAAGCAGTACATCTCATCCATTTGCTGATCTTGTCCTGTAAATGCCCTCAGTGTTTTCCGAAATAATTATCTCTTCCTGCCTCCTCTCGAAAGTCCACTGTCACTCAGCTTTTTTTTTTCTTTTTACTTTTAATTCTGCAAATGTTTGTTTCTTTCAGCGTGCTGTTCTTCGTCTTGTTCAACATCACCCACGTCAGTTATAGAAATAATCAATCTTCTCTCTAATTGTCTTGTTATTTTTTTGTAGGTCATAAAGAGGCTTAGTTATAAATACGAGACTGTTTCATAATTAGTTAAAATCTCCTCACAGGAGCTGTAAATAAGAAACGATAGCTAACATTGATTAAATAAAAACTATAAACAATTATGGCAGAATCAAGTTCTTATTACCCAATAGGTTTGTATATATACAAAACAATGATTTACATAGAAACAGAAGGCAATTAATAGAAGTAACTGGGAGCAAAGTAATAACCGAATCGGGTCATGTTGGATTATTGTAGTAAGACCTCTATGAGATATGACCAAAATCACGCACCATATTTGATACGATCAGAGTAAAATATTACAGAATGGAGAAGAAATTAAGAATATTTTAAGCTTAAATATTTATCTTACAAAAAAATTCAATCAATGCATCACATGTTTGTGGTTTGTGTTCTTTAGATAATACCTTAAATGGTGCCTTGCCTCTGTCAGGTTGGATTACATAAACGCCACTGGGTGCCTGAGGTGAGAGAGTCTTAATCTGCGTGCAGTCTGTTCCAAAATGTGTTGCTAGAACCAACAAAAAGAAAGAGGACGGCAAAATGTTAACCTGAAAACATCCCCTTTCGCCATCCATAACTTACAGATTCAATTAAATACTTGGTATAATAACATAAAATGCACCATACCTTGATGGGAAACGTCACCCTTTTTAAACAAAACACAAGAAACAGCGTTAAGTTGAAACTTTTACGGCATATGGGGAACTTTGAAAACAGACATTAGGATCTTTTTCTTGCAGACATATTAAAGGAATTTAGGGAAAATACATTGTATATGCAGAGTACAAATTAGGGTTATATCTACCCTGGCCTGGGCTGTGTTGATCAACAGAAATGCCAAGAAGAGCCAGCAATACCAGAGGAGACTCCGCATTATGACCTGACCAGAGTTCAACAGCAACATGTTTGCATTGACCTATAACAAGTGTCTTCTAACACATTTTCTAGGGGTATGTCATCTTTAAAACAACTAAAAACGCTATAACATGAATCTTTTAACAAATTTTCTGAACACTATAACATAAATCTTTTAACAACTTTTCTGAAGGTAAATCCTCTTTGGCACTATTAAAAAAGCTATGACATGTTCTATGTAACATTTTCTAGGGGTAAATCATATTAGGCACCATTAAAAAGGATATAAAATGTGTCTTCTAACACTTTTTCTAAAGGTATAATCTCTTAAGCACCACTTAAAACGCTGTAACATGAATCTTTTAACACATTTTGTCAAGGTATTTTATCTTTAACACCATTAAAAAGGCCATAACATATTTCTCACATATTTTTTAAAGGTATATTTTTCTTTAACACCACTAAAAAAGGCAAAGCTCAGTAAATGTTGCACTTAACAACTCAGTTCCTGCTAGATGACAGATGTACAAATGATAACTCAACATTTCAGCCTGCATTCACTTAAAACAAAACAGAAGGATAAAGCCTTACCATCCATATGCAGTATTTCTTACTTACCTGTGTGTTGGGTGAACCTTGTATCCAATGTCAGATTCCAATACAGAAAGAGGGCTCTACTTTACTTGGGAACTTAACCACCACACCTCCTTTGTAAACAACAAACGTTATCCAGTCACCCCTCTTCCCCCTTGCTCTTATGACTCTCTCTCTCTCTCTCTCTCTCTCTCTCTCTCTCTCTCTCTCTCTCTCTCTCTCTCTCTCTCGCTCTCTCGTTCTCTCTCTTTAAAATAAGTAATAAATAAGTAAACTTTCCCAACGGTGACCATTTTAAACGCTGCTGCACTAGTGTGCGCCTTGTAGTGTTTACCTGCATGTTTTCTCTTAACTACAGCTCTTGGAGATAACAGCCGGCTGACTCAGCCAAGAAATACCTGCTGTGTGGTTGAAGTTTGAAAGGGAGCCAATAGCTATGTTCACAATCAGTTTCACACCTTAAAATTATCTCTTAACGTGTCATATTTACAAAAATGAAATCAATAAAAAAGTACTATGTAAGTTACTGACCACATATTTCCCAAGATTTCTGCCTGTTAAAAGGATGTTTTTTTTTCTTGCCACTGTAACTTTGTTGTTTCTTAGTGCTGATGATGGATTGGATTGGTTGGATTGATTGGATTGGTTGGGTATTTGTAGATAATACTGTATAACAATGAGTAAGGTATTTCACCTGCTTTTTGTAGTGTCTTGAGATAACATTTGTAATGAAGGCAGATAGATACATGCAGTAATATATAATAAATATTGTTAATAATATAATAAAGGCGCTTTACAAATAAAGATTGATTAATTGACTGAATATCTAGTTCCCTCTGTTTCTCTTTCTGTCAACTCTAGCCCCGTTTCCACCAAGCGGTCTGGTCTGGTTTGGTTCATTTCAGTTTGGTACGGTTTGGTATGGTAAACCCTGATCTTGCTTGCGTTTCCACGGCTTACCGTACCCTTACACATCACTAAATAACAGCGACACAATAAACAATAATCAATGATTCCAGGTCATCCATGGGGCGGTGCTACATGCTGGCAATAGTCGCAAAAAAACAAAAACAGCCTTGAAATCGACAGGATATTTAAATATGATGCATTTTGTGTTGGTCCTTTATTACCACTGTCGCACAGGAAGTGACCATTCTTTCAACCAATCAACAGACTGTGTGTCTAGCTCATAATTGTGAACTTTATCTTTGTTTCATTTTGTGTCAGTGAGATGGCATTAGGATTTTTTTCCTTAAATGAGTCCGAATAACCCCTCAAGGGATAGGCCATATGAGGCCAGACACCAGAATAAAGATTGATTCATTCGACTTAATTTGATTAGCATGGAATTTCACCCATATATTTATGGTGCATTGAGGAATAACTTTTGTGGTCGGACTTAATGGATCACAACACATTTCTTAGAGTAATTTAATGCACCAGATGGTGTTTGAACATTTGGTGACTTTTTTTTCCTCTACAGTGCCACCATGAGGCTGATATTTGTGGTTTAGTGACATTTCTAAACAACATTGTTGTGTTAGCAGGCCAATGTTAGCACTATGTGGTTAACTCGTAGCTTTATATTGCACATAAATTGACACAGAAAGACTGAGATCTAAAGACACTTATGTGACATCCAAATAATCAGTGAATATGTTCTTCTTCTTTTCTCTAGTCCTTGACTAAAACAGCTTTTTACGCAGGGCCATCTCGTCCATGTAAACACGGCTCTGACAACAACACAGCTGTTGAGGAAATTATTAAGACTTGACTCCACACAATAGAACTCAGTTGACTCAGATGGCTTACGTTGATGAAAGTTTATACATAAAAAGAATACTCGAGGAGACATGATTCAACATCACACTTCTGATCTCATGTCTTGCTCAATCACATCTGCAGAACTTTTCGAAAGGCATCGCATATACTGTATCCCAAAAGACATTACCATTATCAGGGTCATGTTACATGGACCCACCTAGACTAATCTGTGACATCTATAACACTGGAGTCTACCAAACATCCTTGCAGATATCAGGAAGAATAGTTGACACTCTCTAAGCTGTACTTGGTGTTCTAATAACAAATGAACTCTGTCAGGTCTGACTGACCTTAGAGAAAAGTGAATAAACCTAATGACATCTGTACATTATAATCTAAATAACTACAGAAATTACACCACAACAGCCAGCGGGACTTGTGCTTCTCACTCATTGTAGACAGTCATGACTCAGAGACACATTTACAGAGGATATACTTGATTTCTGCTGTATTAATGTGTGAGATGTCGCACACTCTTCCTTTAGGTAATTAGTTATTTGTGTCGTGTTAAACTCCCTTTCTTTCGACTTTGTTAAAGTGTTTAATGTGCTTTATTGGATAACATTGTGGGTTGTTGTCAGCCCCATAGGGCCACCTTATAGTGGGATGTAACATTTATTATATCAGCAACTCATCAGTGTTGACAGATAAAGGCATTTACATCAAATATAAGTAAAACAAACATTTGTGTAGATACCAGTGGCCATTTAGATGATCATTTAGTTTTGCTTGTGCAGTGTAAGCCATTAACCAAACAGATGGTTTGTGCCATTCACGCTGCGGTTCTGTATGAACCTTAAAACTTGTATACTTGTAAATAGATGCTGCATTTTTATATACATTCAAATTGAAGTTTCTCTTTTTATTTTTTAATTTATGTTAATTCCTTAACAGAAAAAATGCACATGGACGGAGACTCAGTAATGTCACCCACTGGTCTGGGAAGAAGCCATTTTGAAGCCTAATGAAGTATCATTAGTCGCCATATTGGAAATGCTGACTCCAATTTACTTAATCTAATAACAGGCAAAGAGTGAAGAGTTAAGGCGGACCTTAAGCCTCCTAACTAACAGCTACAAAGTCCCCACTTGTCAGTCAAATTGGCCACGCCCCTGATTATGTAAAAACAAGCATTACTCGTCAGATTTTTATAAATAAAACACATCAGTTACTGTACAGTGCGTATTGGGTGAAAAAAAGAAATGAGCTTTTCACACCAAACACTGTTTTCTTTGTACCTGTCTGGACAAATGTTTATTTCGGCTTTAATATGGCAGCGTTGGCTATTGGTGCAAGCGTCAAGTTGACGCTCATGGAACTGCAGTTTTCAACCCCCGGTCAGCAGTGTTAATTGCCTTTAAGGGGGACATATTATGAAAAGCCACTTGTACAGTGTTTTTGAACATATATTTGGGTAACCTGAGTGTCTTCTGACCCACAAAATGTGAAATAAACCCATTCAGTTCTTTGTTTGTGGTCTGCATAAGTCTCACAACACCCAGGAAATTGCTCCATTTCAAATTTGCTCAGTTTGTGATGTCACAGTGGGATTCTGGTTTAATAAAATACCCTCCCTACCCCTGATATCTCCTCCCATATCTCTATCCCCAGCCTAGAACAAAACTTTTGCGCAGGTCTGCCATTTTTAATCGTGCTACATAGGATTGAAGTCTACCAGGAAAACTCAGGGGGGCTCATTGAATTTAAAGAGACACACACACCAAAACGGAGCGTTCTGAGAGAGCTGGTTTATACAGGGTCACAAACCTCCTCTGGTGCTTGATTCATGTTATAGTTTGACCAAAGCACAGCACAGATGTTTCATTTAGACCACAGGGGACTGTTTAAAAAGGAAAGGGTATAATATGTCCTCTTTAATACATGTTCTACTTTAATATGTTCATTGAATTAAAACATGGTCATAAACTCTTTCTCAACCTCTTTACAAATAATCATAAAACCTTGAAAGTGTTTCTTCATAATAACTAGACTCTCTACTGTATCAACACTCACACGTTGATCTGATAAATCACTTACTGTATCTGTAATAATTGAGGACAGTGTGTTCAGGGTGTTTCAGACCCAGACAGGTCATTTTTGACTTGTCATCTGAGCCGTCATACCTCATCAGCAACAGCCATCAAGTCACATTTAGTCTGCCATGCTGTTTCATTACTCTCTTTTAGTATTATAATCACACAAACATTGATTCATGGCCATACTGATGGACACTGGAACACACTGGGTTACATAACAACCTCCCATCAGGATGCAGGAGAGAACGCCTCTTGAAACTGAGGCCAAGACGGTCCATCAGAGGTAACAGACCTCCCCCCTTCACCTGCCTGGGAAGGCTCTATGTGGATCAGGTGATACAAATTGTTTGTGCCCCTGCAGGAGGTTTTTTGTCGTATGCAACAGTCTGTTTAAAAGCACAAGGTCCAACGAGAGTACTCAGTCCAGATGCATCAGATTCAGAATATGGATTGCCCAAAACTTTAAGGACCCTTTTCACCTGCAGGACAAGGTGCAGAAAGAAAATCAGTTTTGCCACAGCACTAATTACATTCTACAAACAACAACATTTACACCTCATAATGATACATTGAATGTTTTATTCATGGCTTTTATCTCCACCTAGTGGCAGATTAGATGTTTTGTTCACCACATTTGTCTTTATCTGAATGCAAGTAGTTAGAAAACACTGTATATATAATGTAATATGTCATGTAATATACCACAATGGTTAACTTAATTTCAGGTTTCTTTCATTCTGTAGATTAAACTGTGTGTGGGTACTTGTGATTACCCTTATTATAGTTGTAACTACAAATGATTGACAGACTTTAATTTCTGTAGCCTGTCTAGACAAGCAGATTAACAACCTATGACATCTTCAAGGCACCGCCTGCATGAAGCCGAGCATTGCAGCAGTGAAAAACAGCAGGACCAGTTCTAAGCAGTAATGAGTCATTTCCACTTTAGTTCACATAGATGAATAGAGAGTTTGTGAGTCTGTTCTTGTATGATCTTTGTAATATGAATTTAATCTGTAGATTGCTGCTAATTTGTGTTATTACATAGTTTAATTGCTGTAAAAAGCCTGTACTTGGAGTTCAACCAACCAACAGTTTATGTTGCACTAAAATTATGTTATATGTAGAGCTACCTGTTCAGATATTTTAGTTTATATTTATTTCACTGTTCATGTCCATGTTGACATTCTGCAGCCGACTGATAGTCATACACATTTGGTGTTTGGTCCATGTGGATTTGACTTAGAACTTACTTCGTTTTTATTTTATTTTTATCAATCAATATATCGAGTATCACCACTCAGCTAAACAATATGGAGTTCTTTTTTTGTGCCTTTATTAGAGAGATAGGACAGTGGATAAAAATGGCTATCAAAGAGAGAGAGAGAGAGAGTGGGGATTGACATGCGGGAAAGGAGCCACAGGTTGGATTCTAACCTGGGCTGCCCGCTTGAAGGACCACAGCCTCCATACAAGGGGCGTGCGC